AGTACTTGTCGTAAGTCAAGGTTGTCGACGTCATTGCCAGTCGCTGCAGCCGTCTACTTGTGTTAGTAGTCCGGGTGGTCGTACTATAAGTGGTAGCAGCTGGCAATGGTGGTGGCAATTGTAGTGAGGGTGATAGCAATAATAGTGGCAGTGGTGGCGGCAGTGGTAGTGTAGTGAAAATGCAATAAGAGCAGTCTTGCCGTAGCAGGAATAATATGCGTAGTTAGTAGTCCGTCATAGTCCCATCAGGGGAGTTGAAAGTAGCCATAATAGCGTTAGTTATGGTACTAGCAGCCCTGGCAATAGCGGTTAAAATGACAAAACAAGAAAGCCTGCCCTAGATTGCCGACAGGCCCAGGTTCTGGGTTCTGTCCGAACATCGCCTCCTACCAATTAAATCACGCGACGCAAAATCAACCTTCAACACGAGTTTGAAGATCTGAACCGACCACTCCCGGATGGTTTGCAGCACTGTGCTAGATCCAAATCCGGATGGTTGCTTCTGTGTTTGCGGCCGCGCAGCCCACCCGCCCGGATCGAAGCCGATGAAAGCATAGCCTCGATTCTCCTGGTGAGAATTCCTGGCCGATAGCAGTTTTGGACTGAGTGCGTCGTTGATGTGAAACAAACATGCGTTCCGCACACTACTTTGGAGTTCCTCGACTCCCGCATGCGGCTGGATCAAGACAACCACCTCTTTCCCTTGGGGACATTTGCAAAGTAGTCGTACTTCAGATGGTGAATGCCATGCATCCTGCCCCAATCATCTGCATGTCCCAGCCTCTGCTGTGAAAGCCTAGATCCAAACACCCGAAGCCTGACACGACCCAGTCCGGCCTGATAGAAGGGACATACCAAAAAACTGGCACGGGGACTCCTATCTGGAATAGGAGGCTGACGACCTCCATCCTCAGCAGAGGGGGTTTGGCATGGTGCGCATCTGCGGAATCAAATGCCAGTCGCAGGGCAATCTACGTACAAGTAGCAAGTCGATTTAGCATCTGGATCGGGTGCTTGCACTGTGACCCTCGAGGTTCTGGTTCCATCTCTTGCCTGGAGTTGGAAGAAAAAGTCTACATTAGGCCTCAGCCCTGCAAGCCTGCGCTCTTTGACTCCAACCCCAAGACCCCCACCACCTGCAGAGAATGGGATTCAAGAGCAAGCATCCTCAGTTGCAACCCTAGATCCTCAGCAGGTCCTCAAGAATAAGATGAAGGGTGCAACTCCAGCATGCGCTGTTGATGTTACGCTAGCATCAAGCAGCACCATTTGCCGTCACAACATATCATTATTCCGTAGCCATCTCATTAGGATCAGAGGTATGACGGCTACGGCTATGGGGGCAGATTCTCATCCAGATTAACCCCTTTTGATCACCCTGGGCCTCAGGTCCTTGCACCAGGGCACAAATACCTGAAAAGTGCCAGGCCACTCCGTCAATTTTGGCGGAATGCCGCGCATGAGGTAGATGTCATGCCCTGCGCAAGATGCACGGTTGTCAGAGCAGGCCATGCGCAGGGCTGTTTCCTGACATGTGTCGGCTTTCCGAGAATGTTGCATAGTACTTGGAGTGCTGCGCCAGCACAAAAAAAAGGGATCAATGGGCAATGACGCGTAAGCCGAAGCCCTCAAATGCAATCCATGCAGGTCCTTGATTTTGCGGCAGCATGTGGAATAGCCAAATGGGCTAGAGGTGCCCGCTGCGCCTGCGGGAAGGACATCAGGAAGCAAAATCTGGAGTCTTCGGGCAGCACATAATGAGCTCGGGTTGTTTGGGTTGTCATGAACCTGAGGGGAAACGACCTGTTGGAGCTACCCAACTTATGCTCAATGACTCAGTAATTGCGAAATATTTCGGAGAAGGCTGCCGGTGCCATGATCCACGATATTCCAGGATACTTGTGAGAGAGTGAGAGCAGGCATTGCAGCAGACTTCAGGAAGTGTCGCGCTTCCAGTCTTGGATCATCCGGCCCCACCCTCAACCAGCACTGGTCTATGTACTATCGAGTGTTGACACCAGTGGCTACCATCTTTATCATGGTCCTGAAGGTCCCTCTATGATACCAAATCGTGGCTTTGATTTTCATGGAAAGCCCTTCCGGCCTGATGTTCAATGACCGCAATTGTTTCAAACGTCCAACGGAACTTGTCACAGTCTGTGCCAGCGACCCCTGTGAGGACCTTCATCGTCGCTCAGACAGGCTCTTTGGAGGGTGGGGGGCTTGGCCGCCCGAAAGGCATCATGAGCATGCACAGCTCATAATAATCGTGAAACCCCATGAGATCCCATGAGCATTTGCCATGGCAACAGCGTTTGCATCTCTCACTCTGAGGGATATTACAACTTGCGCAGGATCCTGCTTCCGTTTGAATACACAACTCGGCGTGCTTGCAGTCACACGACTGCCAAAACCACACATGGGCGCTGGTGCAGATGCATCCACGCACATCGTGACTTTTGCAAGCTTGGAGAACTGTATATCTTCCCAAAATCAAACCACCCCCATTATAATAGCCCTAGGAATGGACGGATGCACAAGTATTCCCAGTTACATCACCGTGCGATTCCCAGGCTGCGAGTTGCTAATGTCTAGCCGTGCCATAAGGCAAATCAGGGCATGGGGCCGGTTTGAAGTATGCATGTGCATTTTTCTCGCTGCAGATTGACTCATGCTATGAGCCATAGTCTAAACTCCGAGTATTCCCCTTTATAACTCCTACAGTAGCCCCCTCCCTTCTATAATCCCCTCTAAGGAGCTTGGATTATGGCCCATATGCAGGCACTGATCACAGCCCAACCATGGTCTACAAGCGAGGGACTGTTCTTTCGAAAACCGAGCTCGCGTGCCCGCCTCAGGAATGCCAGGGGCACAAATTGGCATAATAACAACTTTTGCATCAGGCTTCATGCCACTGGTACGAGCCCCAGTCGCTGCAATTTACATGTCAGCAGCACAATTCCATGTTGTACCACTAGAGGGGAGTACTAGAATTTCCTGGGCGCTGCCGCCAAAGAGTTCAGGGTAGGGGCCTGCTAACTTTTGTGGATGAAGGGTTGCTCCAGTGAAGTGGGATGCTTACATGGCAATCTTGGGCAAAAGTAGAAATGTGCAGTGGAGCCACCAAACGCGGAAAGATCCGAAGGATCGCTTCCTTGGCAGACGGGGTCTTGGACCCCACACCACAACCCAAGCCTGCCTTCCGCTTCCCACTAGTGGCTCCAGTGCAGAAATGAACCCTAACAGCTTCCACAAGGTTTCTTGATATGTGCGTGTTTGAGTGACCTATGGCTGCTGCACCGGCTCGGCTATGTTTGATACCTGTAGTTATTCTAGTTTGCCCGAAAAGCTGTTACAGAAGTCCTCGGCTTGAGGCCTTTTGAAATTCAAGGAATTCCTAAGCAGATGCAAGCGATGATCAAACAGTCACAACCCTTCGTTTCAGTGCAACATGTTTGCTTCGGGAACTGGGCTTCCTCACAATTCCAACATTCACACATAGCTGCCCCGCAATGTTGGTCCATTGAAAGCACCGTGCTGACTCTCACCTTTACAGGATGTTGACGTGATGTGAACTTAACTATCAGACATGCTGATGACTGCTTCTGGTTGTTGGGCACATTCCCATCCTGGACCATCCCGCTGCGCTTTTGGACTATGCATCTCGATGCCCAGTCAACACAGCTGATCAAGGATCACAGACAGTCTAAGTTGCCAACTCAACGAAGTTCTCCCCTCCAGCGTAAATGTGCGAGCCTCAGACGAGAGTATGCCTAGGGCGGCTGCTGAGCCATGTCAGTGCATTTAAGCAATGACAGGCTACTGATAAAGTCAAACGCAGCTTTGCTGCCCACACTGCCCAGACAAGTCATGCTACAAAAGGGCACCGAAGAGGTTTCAATTCCGAGGCCTTTCGGGTTTGCTAAAGCCTCAAGATGGCTGGGCCCACGGCACTGGTTCACTAGATAGCCTTCTACTTCTCGGCGTGCTCTGTTAAGAATGGCCCCAGAAGTGCGGGAAGATGCAATTGTCAGGTGGGGGGGCCCTTTGATTGAACCCAAAAAGCTACTCATCGCTACACCAGCACAATGACCCAAAGAGGCCTCTAACTTTCAACAGTGGGGGGAGCTGTGAACTCTCAAGAATTTGGTGAAAAACCGGATATGGTAGGCGATTAGTTGCAGATGATGATATTGGTTACGCTGCAGCAGGAGCTGAGAAGATTGCAAGTGTGCCAATACCGCCAGAATTATAACAGTTTGTTCTTGCTCGCACAAACTCACAGAGAGGACTGCAGCACTTCGGAAGCAAGCCTGGCGGAGGAATCCCAATGCGCATCCCCAAACACAGAAGCCGAAACACCGCTGCACCTTACATCAACTACCCGCTCCCCAGAATGCAGCTGCGAGACTCTTACGCGCCAGGGACTGTACATCTAGCGGTCGGTGACTACGCGTGTAATGGCTGCGGGGAACATAGACACAAACGGTATCAGGCCTAAGCTCGGGATCACTTATGCGGCACACGATCTCTCACGCCGCCCTGCACAAGTGCTCAAAAAATGCGTCTCACCTTGCAACAGAATTACGAGTCCCGAGCGGGACATCAACCGAGAATCTAAATCTGCGCTCTATGCTTGGCTGGCAGTGGTTTTCGCCCGCGCTACACGAATCTCAAGCTCTTTGCCCAGCAACCCCCAGCATCTATGCAGGTCAATGCCGCATGCATGTAGCATTGCAACTGGTGGGCGGTCAGGGTTGGATTCATCTGCGCCTGGTTTAGGCAGCTTCTGGATGGAATCACCAGGACAATCTGCATCTCTGGTTGCGTACGGATGGTGGTGGATTGCAGCTCCCAAGCATACTACAAGAAGGTGACGAAATAAAATGGCAGCTAAGATGCCCCCTCGCCATAAGCGTGGGAGAGTGTCCCTACCGGTCTTTCATACGAAATCGAAACTGATCAAGTTCAAAGTCCCCACGCTTGGCACCCTGGAAGTGTCAGTAGGGGAATGTCTTCTGCGTCATGAGAACGTAGAAGTCCTGCACCAGGAGAAGGCGGACAAAAAAAAGAAATGCAGAAGCATGCAATCTCACAGGAATATTGTTAACAGCAAATTTGATGGAAACGCTAAGCGCTGCTGAGCCCTGGTCCTCCTCTGTCACCTCGCCATCCCCGCTGCAGTCAGCACGGGCGATCATCTCCTGACTCAACGCAAGTTTCACCTCTTAAGTAGTGAGCCAAAGCCCAAAGAAAGGGGAGCTTCAAACAAAATCGTGGCCCATGAAATAAAGTCCAAACTTGAAGGATGACCTAGCAGGGACTTCCCATCATCTGCGCGAGTCCAAGAACTGCCCTTGCATGCTTGAGTCACCCCCCTGGTACCAGCCGCAGTTTTGCGTCCTCACGCTGGCACCACGCTCCCTGAAAGGCACGCTGATTTTATCCTATTTTGGTACTACCATTCGGGAAACTCTCCCCGGCTCGCTGAAGCTGCGACTTCTGCAAGCATACGGTGCCATGTGGTAGGTCCTTTTCCGAGTGATTTCAGGCATCCACAAGACTTTTCTTGCCGGAATAGAAAGCTTTATCCTCTGCAGTGCCGGGAGACACAACCCACTTCCACCGCTTTGATTCCCGCCATCGGCACGAAACCTGTTGGTAAAACTCCAAGTCATAGTATCACACACAAGCTATGGAATCTAGTCAGCTTCGTATAAAGAGTCCCTACATGGCCCATGCAGGCTCAAGCGTCTCCGACGAAAGTCACCAAAGCTGTACCCCCACGCCAGTTTCGTTGTTGCATCTATGAACCACAAACCTCGACCCCTGGAAACGTGAAGCTCCACGTGTTTTCAGTAATAGAAATACTCGGGTAATCTGAATAGGAATCTCGGTCCTGCTTGGAAGTTGTGGAAAATGCTAGTAGCATTGAGAGAACTGTTCGGCACAAAAAACATTAGTGACCAGAATAGTAAGGAAAGGAGTAAGACAGTCATTCTGAATAGCAGCCCCTGTGATGTCATCAAAAAAATGCCAGAAACAACGCTCAGAACAACAACCCCACAGCAGCATCAGCAGCAGAAGCAGCAACACACAATCAAAGCACCAGCGCTGGTAGAGTTATGTGTAGCCACTAGTTAGAATCAACTGGACAATGTCAGAATAAACGCTGAGACTTATAACCAGCAACACAAATAGGCTTCGTACATAGTAGTGCCTCGAGAGCCTCCACTGGAAGCTGCTCACCCAGCTCTCGCGCCACCCTCTGCCTTGGGTCTGGAAGATGAGGGCAGGTCCCTTTCTGATTCTGGGATAGGCTTAAGCTTGCTCATCCCAGGCTTACCTTGAAAGGGTCTTTCCACCCATCTCTCATACTCACGGGACGGCTTCCCATAGGATCCTGTCAGAGTTTGACTAGGAATGACTAGGAATATACGACCATTCAGAAGGAGCAGGTGAAGCTCCACAGGGCACCACGTTTGAAGTTGTCAAGGCCTCCGAGGGGTTACTTCTAAATGATGGCATTGATGCCTATGGCTATGAGGTAGAAGTACACCAGGATTGCAATGGATCATCATCATCTGCATCAAGTGAAGCTGAAAAGTCCCACTTTGGAATTCTCCCATTTTCGCCACCAAAAAAAGCTGACTTTTGACAATCTCCCTCATTTAATTCTGAGCTTAAGTTCCACTATTGAAAGCGTCCCGCCTATTGAGCACATGTGACATGTGGTGGGCGGCATCATCCGAACCTACAAGGTCGTTTCCTGACGTGCGAGACGACTCAATCTTCTCTCTTGACTTGCCCCGGATATCCAGACATGCCTGCCCAAAAGCAGAGCTGCAAGTTTCGCAGAGAGATCTTGCCCGTCTGGTCCCCATCAAAGAGCCGGAAGACCTACAGCCATCAGAACAAACCCCCTTCCCTCCGAAGCTGCATCTCTGCCCTTCCTCTTTGCAACGACTGACATCCGATACCCAGACCCAAAAAGGGAGTGGACCCTTGCAAAATGCAACCTTACGTCCTCACGTGTCAGCAAGGAAGATTGCTGACGTCTTCGTGAGAACGAAGCAAGATAGAGCTGCTAACAGGAGCAGAACCCAAGCATGTAATTATCATTGATCATCGTACTTCGTATTGGAATCGGAGCCGCGTATGATCATGGGAGTCCATACCAAACATCTCCTCAAAACTTAGTAGCCCAAGGCTGTCTGATTGGGTGCAAAAGAAGTCTCTGTACTGTTTCGAACCAGACTTCAGAACCAGGCTTCTTGGACTTCTCTGCTTCACACCAAAAAATACATGTATATATATATATGGACTGCAACTATACGCCCTCGACGAAAGCTTCGCAACCATCAAAGAGGACCATAGCGACGAACACTCCATGTTGGCGTTGCTGGTAAGGTTGGACAACCAAAGTCCCGATTGTCACAAGACAAGTCTGAGTCTGCACCACCCGGATCGAAGCCGCGCGCCTTCGAGACATCAGCCTTAGTGTCCCTCTCTCCCATCTTGGCCGTCATGAGATCCTGCCATCTCCAGTGTGTTCAGCCTACATGACAGTGCAGCAGATCATTCTCATGCGCGTCGAGATTGCAACTAGCAATTTCAAAAGCATGCCGTAGCATGCAAAATGAAGCGCGGCCACAGCCACAGTGCACCTCCTCACTGCAGGAAGACCATACATAACGGCAAGTCACGAAAATCAAAGCCGGAACGAGACCTGTGCACCGGTTGGGTGTTACAAAGAGCGGTAGTGGTACACAAGGCCTTCCTGAAGGTTCTTCGGGCAGACCCGATGCCTCAGAGCCACAGAGCCTCCGTTGAGAGTGATCCCTGACATAACTGTTCTTTCAAAGAAACAGTAACCTCCGTATGCCCGAGTCCACCAAGAATCCACCTTTTTGCTGCTGGACTTCTGCAATCGCCAGAGTCTTGGCCAAAGCATCCCGATCATGAGCACTCATGAGCACTACTGGCTCATTCTCCACCCGGGCAAGTAGCTGCCATTTCTGGAGGAGTCCGAGAGCACCAGAGACCCTCGTATGTCAAGAAGCCACCCCGCATGCTGCGAATGAAGTCCTATTGCTAGATAGTTCAAATCGATAATGTTTTTGTTAAGCATTGAGTTTTAAATCAACCCCTTAGATTTGAAATCCAACCTGCAGCTCGATTTGAAATCGCGCGATTTGGCCAGCTAAGAAGTAGCATGGCGCATTTTCCACAACATGAACAAAGGATCGTCCATAAGCCTTCGGGGACAGTACTCGCGGGGGCCCCTCTCACTGCTCAAGAAAATCTGTCCAGGAAGGCTCCGAAGTCCAGATGCTTGCCATCCATCCTTCATGGAAGGGAGGATGGAAGAATCTTAGGCTTCTGAATTAAAAGAATGTTATGGTGCAGCCACTGATGGAAAGCTGAGAATGCTGAGAAAACAAGGCAAGGGGCAGATGCTTTCTTTGAGCCATGCCAGGCGCTTAAGGCTCAAGACTCTGCAGGGGAGCTTACCATCTGGGTCTGGACCGGCCTCTCCAAGTCATTCAGCAGGTGGTGAACGACCTGACACGGGCAGCCAAAGTAAGGGGGCCAGTTCCAATAGCCTCATGGCCTCGCAGCGCGGGGCTCAGAACAAAGCAGCGGCTTGCACAACCAAACGCTTTGAACAAGCGAAAGCACCAACCGTGGCTGTAGCAAGCTGCTCGCCCCGAAGACATGGAACTCCCTGCTGGATCCATCATCTGTTCTCCTCACACCTAACCCCATCGAAGAAGTGATCAGCTGTGGACCCTGCCCTGCCTGGTTTCGCCGCAGGTTGAGCCTCAGAGCGCCCCCGAGCAGCACTCAGGGAAGCTGAGATTTTATGGGCCAAGGGCTCAGAGCAATAGTTCACCTTGCGCCTTGCCTATTTCATGCTTCGGATCATAAGGATTCAATGATTCACATCATGCCAAAGACCATGCCTGCCGACGGCTTTGCACTTGCTGCACATAGATTTGCACACCCATGCTCTGGGACCTCCATGGACATGATGCAAGGAAAATGAGATGGATAAGCGTTGCTTTGTTGTTCTGGGCCTCCGCCATTCTGGAGTAATGCACTGCAAAAGTTCGAAGCGCCTGTGCCCTTCGAAGCAGGAGGCAGGAGCAGGCGTAGCATGCAAGATCCCCTAACCTGAACAGGCGCGGCTGCCTTTGGACATAGCAGACTCTCCCAGAACATGCCATAGCTCAGCGAACCCGGCAACCGCCGTGCCCATAACATGCCCCTCGGCCGGCACCAGCAGCATCACAAAAGAAGGCGTCCGTTTCTCTGGCGGTTCCAGCCACCCTTCCTGTATGGCCGGGAACGGCGCCCCCACACCCCTCAGGACAGATCAGCATAGCTGGGCTCAAAACAGAAAGCTTCAAAGATCTGAAGAGGAAGCTTTCGTAAGAATAGAAGCCAGACATGAGCTCCTTTGGAAGACGCATGGACTCCGGACTGGCTGATTCTCAATCCTGGTGGATAGCTAATCAAGCTGCCCAGTGGCGATTGGATGCAAGCACGCAAGTCCCTCGGGTGGATCTTCTGCGTCCCGTCCACGTCAAAGAGGTCAAAAGCCTCCTTGACCTGCCACTTAGTTAACAGTTAAGGGTCGGTGTCACACTGATAACACTGTTCGGATGGGCAGGAGGATCATTCAAAAGGAGTCTCTGCCGGGCACGTTGCGTTTACAGCTCAAGGCTGCCAGGGAAGCATGTGGATCAGCACGCGAAGGCGAATCAAAGAACAGTCAGAATCATGACGAGCGTGCTTAGTTCAAGGGAGGACTCAGGGCCGCATGGTGCAGCTCATGGAAAGATGTCTGCTTCTGCTAAACATGGATGTTGATCGAGACCATCGAGAGGCTTGCAGGGAATATGCAAGACATCACCTCTCTCTGTCTGCTTTTGTTCAAGTCCATCTGTTGCCGATCTCTCAGATGTGGTTCTTCTGATCTCTTGGCTTGGTTTGTTGCCGCACGTCGGGCCTGGCCACAACCAAAGCCTCAGCAAGCAACATGACATCTGGAGAGGCCTCTTCGATTTCCTCCTGCATCAGGCCCTGGCAGGCACGCTCAAGTGGACACGTGCCAATAGCTTCTGGGAATCCTCCTTCTGTATAGACGGCACTTTTTGGGGCATACACATGCACAAGTAAGCTTTTATCAATGCTCTTGAGGTGAGGACTGCGGGGTTGATCTCATCACACAAACTGGCACGTCTGGGCACCCTCTTTTTGCGATGGGCCTTCACAGTGGCTGCAGCGGTATGATTCAAAGAGATGTGCTCTGACGATGCAGGTGGTTTGAAGAAGCTCCCTTTCGCGAAGCCTAAACACCAAACAAACACTGAGCACGCACCACTGTCCTGATGTAGCCGTGACATTAACTAACTGAAAATTTCTGTCCATGGCACAGGTGTTCAACAGCAACTGAAGATCGCTATGGCAACTACGAGCTAGTACGCCCTGCACATACCCCTTTCACACGCAGAACTCCTGAACCCCAAACCCTCAGCTCCAGTCCCTCCGCACCGGGCGCTCGTAGCGCTTCCAGGACCACTCGCCGCGGGAAGGCCGCGAAGCCATGGCTGCGGCTTTGGGATTTTGTCTACGGAAGGCAATTGTTTGAGGGGTGGGTCTTGAGCGCGGGGTTCTTGCCACAGCGCAAGGCAGGTGGAGGGCTACGAGGTCTAAGAGACCTTCAGGACCAGCTTCCGGCTGAGCAGCATGCAGTCTTTTGTACAGTAAAACTTATGAGGAGTCGATGAGGATGCGTTCTAAAGAGTACAACCGCCTCCGCCCTAGCTGTAAGGTCATAACCTCCATAATGACTATTTATGGGACCCTCGTGCAGAAGGATCACATGGCACCGATCAGCCATGCTTTGATGGCGTCACGACAAATTGCTGCGTTGTCTGCCAAAATTTTGGTACGAAGTTGAGGTTTCAGGACGACATGTTGCCTTGATATTGATACCAGAGCACCGCGAAGAGAATGCGGCCATGTAAACTGGTCGCTACTAACAGGTCAACTGGCGTCGTATATCTCTCTTCGCATCTTCTAGAGGAAAGCCTTCAGGTAGCGCCTGTGCTTCTCAGCCGTTTGCGTCCTTGTTCTCAATTCAGATTTTTGTATAGTATGATGACGGGCACAATTTCAGTCAAAGCCTCCAAGCCGAAAGCGTAATCGTCTCAAACTTAGCTCCGACTCGGCGGCTAGTGACCCAGTATGTAGTCACTTGTTCAGCTCAGAACTTCGCGCCGGATCGCGCAAACTGACGAGGAATCCATGACAAGCACCACAGCACAATGCCTGCTACCAGGACATGAGAGGTCCCAGGGAAGTATTAATCATTGCCACCACTGCCACTGCAACAGCCCCATCGACAATGACGAAATGAGACAGATGACGAGCGCCTTCGCCTGTTGTAAGTCGCCCCAAAATACTTACTGGGTATATGGATCGTAAGGAGGGAACCAAGTTCAGATCAAATGCAGGTGGAGTCTGGCATCCCTCCCAGATAAAGAGCATAATTGCCGGAGCTTGGGCCTAATTTTCTTCAACGATTCAGTTTTTGCGGCTTGCAATACGGGGAAGGAGATCACCCGTACGGGCACTACTTACTTGTACCATCTTTTACTGCCTGCCACAGCTGCCCTGGCCACGGCCGGTGCCATTGCTGCTGCTGCTGCTGCTCCTCCTCCTCCTCCTCCTGCTGCTGCTAATGCTGCTGATGCTGCTGCTTACATGCACTACTACACCTTCTGCTGCTGCCGCTGCTGCTGCTGCTGCTGCTACATGCGCTCTATGCTATCCTACTCCTATGCCTATGACGACTGCTACTGCTGCTGCTGTTGCTGCTACCGCTACCGCCACTACGACGACGACGACGACCACTACTACGACTATTACTACTACTACTACTACTACTCCTCCTCCTCCTCCTCCTGCTGCTGCTGCTGCTACTACTACTACTACTACTACTACTACTACTAGTAGACGCCCCCCCCCCCCTACCAACTATGTTGGTTGATATTTCCACCACCAGAGCTTTGGGGGGAGGGGGAGGGGGGGAGGGGGCGGATAATTGTCAACTTCCCCCAAACTTAATGCCCTCCTCCAAATTCTACAACTAAACAAGATCA